TCCCCCCCCCCCCCCCCCCGATACTTTAGAGCTTGCTTTTTCTCCAAAAAACTTTCAGAACAAATATTAACAAAAAAGGAACCAAGAAATAGGAAGGTTTGGGAAATTTATGGCATAAAGCAATTTTCTTTCACCCCTTCCTGTCTGTAGACATGGACTACCTGTATTTTTTAGAAGAGCTTTGTAGCTAAGAAGCCACAGGATTTGCCAGTGGAGCTGCGGCCAGCATTCCAAGCTTAACACTTTTCTTTCTTTACAAGCAATGAAAATAAGTGAATCAAAAGAGGTTGGCTTTTCCCCTTCTCAAAAACAGCAAGTGTTAGTGGAGAACAGGCTGCAAAGATTTCATTATTCATGGTTTTATTGCTCAGTTGACCTTCGAAACTGCTGGTAAAAAGCAAATTCTAGAAAACAACTTGTTTGATTTCTTTGAAGAGGAGAACATATTTGTTCACTTTGGCTTTATGACTTTTGTTGGTTGAGGGGGTTGTTTGTTTTGTTTTTAAACAAAACATTTGGCTCCATGACAACTAGGTCTCATCTAGAACAAGGAATTTTTAAAATGGATATTATTAATACATTTTAATAACATGCTCTTTAAAACTGACTATCTAGTCCTGGTCAACCATAGGGTAGAGCTGCCACTAAACACAGGCCAAGATGGTCAAGTTTTAGTTGACCAGGAAGTTGAGAATTTGTCAGCCAACTTGTCACATGTTAAAGTGAACACTGCCTTGTGCATACTCATCTTGTAGAATGTGTTAGTTAGCTCTTAGTGCTAATACCACTGTTTGTATCCCAGTTGAGGCAAGGTCTTTGTCTAAATTCCTTAATAGGGAAGTCTGAGGTGTCAGGTTCTGCAAATACAAAGTACTTTTCACTGGCTTGTCTATGTTAGCAGAGATCATAAAATTTCTCACCATTGCAATAAGTGCATTTTCATTCTGTTACAAGTAGTAATGGTGGGAATAGTGTTGGCAGGATGTTGAAAACAAAATGGAAAACATTATGCCACTGTATAAATCCATGGTGCACCCATATCTTCAGTAGGATGTTTAGTTTTGGTCTCAACATCTCTAAAACAATTTATGGAATAACTGAAATGGCACAGAGAAGAGAAACTGTCATGTTGATGGTGACTGAAAAAACTAGGACTTCAGTTTGGCAAGGAGAAGGCAGAAGGGAGGATATGATTGAGGTTTATAAAATCACTAGCCAATTGCCTGTCAAGAATGATGGGGAGGGAAGGGGGCTGGGATGTGGAGTACTGCCACCCAATGCCACATGTTGCCGCTATTCTGCCTCTTGCAGGGAGCAGGGTGGGGAAGCCAAGGCCAGCGCTGGTCCAGTCCTCGGTGCGGCTTCAGAATCATGGCAGCGCTCCCCCACGCTTGGAGCACTCCGGCTGTTTCCATCAGCCAATCAGAGTGCGAATAAAGCGTTACAGACAGACTTAGGCTTTTATAAGGTTAGAATGACTTGTATGGACAAGTGGCATGGGAAAGTGTTATTCATCAAGCCCTAGAGTACAAGAACTAGGGCACCCACTGAAATCATCAAGAGATAGGTTTAAAAAAAACAGATAAAGTACTCATTTTACATAGCACTTAGTTGATGTGTGGCACTTATTGCCATAAGAGGTTGTAGAGGCAGTTGGTATGGCCAGGTTCAACAGGGGATTAGACAAATTCATGGAGAAGAGGTCCATTAATAGTTATTAGCAGGTACTCAGGGAAGCATCTGCTAACATCCCTAAACCAATGATGGCTGATGCCAGAGAGGGTATAAAAGGGAATGGATTATTCTAGATAGGCCCTGGACATACACTATCCCGCTAAAGCATCTACTTGTTGCCACTATTAGAGACAGGACACAGGATTAAATGGACTGTTGGACTGACCCAGGGGGGCACTTCTTATATTCTTATGTTGGTGTTTATAGCTGCATGTTTTTAACACTGATCAGGGAGTTGACAGACAGCTGTGCAGAAATATGTGAACACAGCCTGACAGTGTTTCTCTTCACAAGGTTAGATGAAAGATTTAACTACTGGTTATCAAAGCAAAATTCTACTCAGAGTATACATAATACGTGGATGGATCAGATTAAAAGATTTTAACCTGGCTGCTAGATGCTTTTTAAAAATAATAATGCCTTTAATAAATTAGTATGTACTAAATTATTAAAAGAAAAGCATTAAGATTTTAAAAAGATAGAGCCACCATATCTGAAACTACCTAAGTTTCCTAAAATGCCATATTCCTGCACGTGCTAATTCCTTTAAAAGCTGGAATTATTTTTGAGGGTGATTGTATTTGGTTGGGTGTTAGGAATATCGAGAGGAATTTCCAAGAGCCAAATACAACTGAAGAAGGATTTGTTAGATGTAGAAAATATGGCATTTTTCTTTCCCTTACCACTCTCAGTATCTGTCTCAGAAAGCCATACTGCCATTTAGGTGATGTTTCTTAAAACGATATTCTTGAAGTGTATTAAATCACACTTTCACCAGTTTGAAAATAAATTTTCAACCACATAGTCCAAATAACAGTAGAGAAATAAAGGTGGGCTTCTCAGAACTAAGAAGTTCAGTACCAGTATTAAAAACTGTTGCCTTTACCTGATCCTGCTGATGCCCTTCCTCATACCAGGTTTGTTTTCTTCATCGGAGTAGCCTACTTTCTCTTCAGTGTTATTCTCTTCTTCCTCTTCTGAGAACACGTTGCTGGAGTACAGCAACAAGACGCAGCTCCCATTAGCTTTGGTCAAATTTAGCAGGACTCTGAAAGATCAGGGAGACTAACACAGTTCATCTACCAAGGAAATTTATATTTTCCTCTCTTCCTTGTTTCCTTTGTTACCCTTTTAATTTTTGTGATGGTTTGTCATTAGCCCACCATTCACACACTGCTATAGCATACCACTTGTCTGTGTAGATTTTAAATATGTAAACATTTACTTTGATTAAATATTGGGAACATTCTAACCTTTGGGAGCGTCCAGGTGAGCATGCATGTGTGTTTCCCTGGGGACAAATAGCAGCAGTACATAGTTGTGCCACTGCTACTTTTGAATGCCCATGCATGCAGTTTCTGGTGCACAGCAGTTTGCCCCAGGTGGGGTAGGGGAGGCTGGGGACAGCACCTTGGCAGGCACCAGCAGCCTTACCTTGGGTCCTGGGGGCCTTGTGGGGTGGCAGTCCAGGTGCGTGGAGCCTGGCCAGCAGCCGGAGCATGGCTCTGGCTGGCCAGGCCCCGGTTTTGGGCAATGCATGCTGCCGCCACATGTGCCACCATGCTCTCTTTTTTTGGTGCAGCTTTTTTGACACTGGGATCTCCCGTGTCAAAAACCCCCCACTGTGCTGTAAATTAACATGCTGAACGCCAGTGTGTGCGGTTTGCAGTACCTCAGATGGGTGTGTGGCACCACAAACTGCACCTATGTATTCATCTGGATGCACCCTTTATGAAAATTTGACAGCTTCTGCACACTAGTAAAACAGGTTTAGAGTTCATTACAATTGCAGCATGATCTATATGCTGTTATCTGGCTTGTCTTGTCATGACTTAAAGTGGGTTTTTTATTTTAATCAGCACACAAGATAAATCAGAGTGAATTAATTTATGAATTGCCAGTCTGCCTGTGTTGCAGTTCTTCACAAGACAGGATTCAAACCATATTACTCTGCACATTGCAAAAGATGTGAGCCTCCAGTTTTTCAAAGCCCAAGACAGCTGTGAGAAGTTTGGATTTGTAGAATATGAATGTAGCAACTTTTCTTTTCTGTGCAGCTATCTTCAGAATTTGCATCAGTTGCTAATTAAAAGGCATCCATCTTCTAGCTGAGTGTAAAGCAGCTGACTATAAAGATCCAATCCACTGGAGCATGAGTGGGGTGGGGAAATGGGGTTGAATATTTGGTGAGGTGGGCAAGGCCTGATGTAGCTTCAGTTCTATCCTCTTCTCTTCCCTACATTATGACTGGTAGAGCTGGGAGGTGAAGTATGAGCAGGAAGTAGTGCACATCTGTAAGCTGGTGTTACTTTTCCAGAAGTGTGGCTCAGAGCTCCTTCCCAGATTCCTGCCTGTGGTAGGGCAGCAGCATGCCACTGCTTACACAGGGTACTGAGCAGAGGTCCAAGATGGTCCTTAGTCTCTTTTATTCTCAGTATAACTGATGTTTGGAATTTCTGTTTTATAAAAAGGAGCTGGCAGTCTCTGGACTTGTGAGGGCTTCAGGTTTGGAAGAAACTGCACTGGTAGAAATTTCTGGTAAAGCCCATACACATAATATCTGTATTTAAGAAGAGCTGTTAATCTTTCATATTGAACACAAAACAGCTGTAACTGGGTTTTCTGCTCTGGGAAAGGGCGGCTTTGCGGGAACAAATTGCCTTTCCAGCAGAGAAGCATACAAGATCAAATCCAAAATATTGAAGGCTCCAAGGTCAGAGGGTCAGGTCCATCTACCTGTTGTTTCAGTTGTGGTGTGTTTTTTTTTAGTTTTTGTGGGGGGGGTTTTGGAAGTCCTGGAGTGCTATATGTGATCCTATAATTATACAGTTTCCCTTCCACCAATCCAGTGTGCAGGAGAGAGTTTGTTAGAGAGTTAGAGTTCACTGCATATTCAGTGCCATCTAACTCACTAGCTTAATCTGTCTCTCTTCCCAAGGAAGCAGGTTTAGTTTTCCTTCCACGTTTTCTTTGGATCTGAGCTTGGAATGTCTACAAGGGTTATCAGTCCCTCTTGGTAGCAGACAACATTTCTTACTGAACATTTTCTAATCTACACAATTTTATTTTATCAGTAAAAAATGTGCAAAGCAAAAATGGGGCACGTAGCACAGTCACAGGTCTTGCTACTGTTGATGCAGTTTCACTTATCCTTCTGTTTCCCCCATTTGGTGTTTCTTATTGAGTAACAAGCAAGATGTCACTTTCTCCTTTGCTTTATTATTATAGTTGAATTGAACATGTCAGCCAGTCTGGGGGAGTAGGGCTTAGATCCTATCAAACAAACTTTTTTTTTTTTTTTTACATCTATAGATTATTTGGGCGATCACCAACAGTTTGCATACGTAGACACTTGGAATAAAAAGTAAAATTTTAATTACTTGATTATGTTACTTAAAGGCCTGTGCTGTCCTAGGGATGAATTTAATTCATTAATGAAGCATTAGATACATAGATGTCCCTTTGTGAGCAAATATGAAATTTGCATATTCAGTACCTTTCAGAAATATCACATCCAGGTCCCACCAAGTACCCCTTTCTCTCTCTTTCTCTCTTTTTTTTTTAGCATGGTGCTTTTGGCCTCTGCATCCCATCCAGCAGGTAAAGTGAACCAGGAAGTTCTCTTTTTTTTTAGGCTGAGTTTTCATTTTTGATGCCTCTTGTTTACTGTAAAAAGTATGCAGGTGCAGAACCTTGAAGAGTCCACTAGAAAAATCACACAGAATTGTTTGAACAAAGTCAAAGGGCCTGATTGTTGAACATTGGCAGCTTTATTGTATAATTCAATGATGCAGTGTGTAAAACAACAATTGGAGAGATTCTTTTCTCCTATCCTTTCATTGATTTCTCTGTCCCCCAGGATTTAATAGTATCCAGTGGACTATCTGGTACACTACACCTGTCCTTTGCAAAGGAGTAATATGAGACCCTGATGCATGCTCCAGACTACAGTCTGGATTTTAGCTGGCTGGGGGCTTGTCATACAGAGTTGTGTTTCTATAGGTATGGTCTGTCAATCAGAAAGTCAAAGGAAAAAGCATCTAGGAAGCTAGGTTTTCAGCTGGTGGCTGGGCTTGGTGCTTTACAAAGCCATTTTGTTTACAGTTTCTTCCCTCCCTCAGGAATAATGTAACATAAAATGCTTCATAAAATAGGCACATCTTTTCAGGGGCACATGCAGGATGTCCCAAAGGGGATTGTGGGAGCAGCAACCCACGCTGCAGGGGTGACTGAACCCCCTGCTCCCAGCCTCTTCTGCTCCACCAGTGTGGGCAGACCAGGCTGTAGGAGCCTCTAGGGAAATATTCCTTCTCTTCCTCTTCCTGCTCAGAGGCAGCCCCCTCTCTTCATCTTCCCCGTGCCCAACTCTCCTGCCTGCCCCTGCTGCGTTCTCCATGGTTGGGGAGCAGGGAAGTTCTGGAGCCAGCCAGGCTGAGCAGAGGCTGGGCTCAGCAGCAGAGGGGACAGTGACAACAGGGCAACTAGAGAATTCCCCTCACCCTGCCTGGAAGGGGAATTCCTGTTCATCCCTGCTGTCCTGATCCCCAGCCCCAGCTGAGCCCAGCCCCTGTGCAGCAGGCAGGAATGGCTCTGGTGCTTCTGGAGAGCAGGGAATGGCAGAGGGAGGTGGGGTAGGGATAGGGGGAAGGGATGGGGAGAGGGTGTTTCTTTGAGCAGGAAGGGGAAAAGAGAATTTTTACCTGATTTTGGAACTTTAAAAAGTCTCTGGAATCTCCCGTGGTGTGGTCCAATCCAAACGGGAGGCGGGATGCAGCCACGCCACCACACTCCCTTTAGATCCACCCCTGCATATTTTAAAAAATGAAAGGAATTTTTTTGAGAACTTGTAGAGGCTGAAAGGGAAACAGCTGTCAAGTTGAAGCTTTCTGGTCCATACCTCCTGGAAATGCAAATATTCCTTGGCCCTACAGTGTATATTTAGAAGAACTTCTTTTTTAAACCTCCTGACTTGCACTATGTGGTAGAATGTACTGTGCAAAGATATATGTAAATATTCCCTTTTGCACAGTATGTAACCAAAAAATTTACTGATTTCAGTGGACAGAAATCACTTTTGAGGGCCTCAGGGTAAAAGAGGTGAATAGACCTTGTGTTGATCACTGGAAATTTCAGTCTCAATGCAGTCATTTGTAGAACATTAGAAATGTATTAGCAAAGACTACTCTTATACTTTCTACAATTCCTTTCCCTGTTTCAATAAGATTGGAGCCAGCTACAACAGAGAATATCGGGAAAGACGCATTAAAAAGAATGGAAATGTGGAAACTGTGGTAAATGAAAGCTGGGCACCTGTGAAAACTCAAATAATATCCATTTAATTGCTGTCCCCCTGTTGTTTGTAACTGTGTGTTCTTTCCAGTTTCCCACTGAGTGTATTGTTTGTCCCTCAGGTGATCTCCTTAGTGCCTTGGACTTTCCATTCCTATACTTCTACAGATTTCACAGCAGCTGCTGTGCCAGGTAACCTTTCTATAATAAGGTGTGCGACTGTTATGAAACATGGGTGGATCAAGGATTTTGAAAAAGGGGAGGTGCAGGAGGTGTGATGCATCATTCCAAAACAAAATTCATATTTTTCTCTAATAAAAAAGGACACTAGAAGCTTTACTATTATGCTAGAGGCCTAGGGCTGTATTTATTCAGTTTATGATCCAAGCAAAAACAGATATAGCTGTTTCTAGCTGACTAATGTTGTCCTCCACCCTCAAGATAAACAGTTGGGGTCAGGGGAGGACTTGCTTCAGCCACTGGGAGTGCTTCTGCCTGGGGAAACCAACCCTACTCATTCACCCATGCCTGTTTTATCCCACTGCTAGTTCAGCCTCCCACAGTCTCCCTCATCTGCTGCAATGAATATCTCAGGAAAGGGTCATTGCAGTAGCTTACTACTTCACCTCACCTTCACAACTCTCTCCTGCCTTTGACGGATGCAGAGCTCAGCCTGCTTTTAGACCTGCCCCTTCCTTTCCTATCTCTGATTTGTTGTAGGTTTGAATCCCCTAGGACAGTGGTCTCCAACCTTTTTAAGTAGGAGATCACCTTTGGCATTTAAAAGTAGTCCAAGATCTACTGTGTGCCACCCCCACTGCCTCACTCCCCCCTGGCCCAGCAGGTAAGTCTGTGGGGAGGGAAGTGGGGGGTGGCAGATTGAGGCAGAGGGAGAAAAAAATATTTGCGGGCATTACCCCCTAGCAGGTAAGTCTGGGGGAAGTGGGGGAGGAGAAAGGGCTGTTGGGGGGCAGATCGAAGTCTTAGCCCCACTTCCGCCCTTACCGCTGGCGCCTCGACCTCCCGCCCCGCTATTAGGGGGGCAGAGAGTGGGGCTGCAGCAGGGGCAGGCCCTGCACAGACTGGGCATGGGACGGAGCAGTGAGCAGCTCATCCAGGGGCTGCAGGGAAGGCATGGGGGACATGTACCCCCGGATCTGCATGCTGGCTGGGCTGGCTGCCGCTGCAGGCTGAGGTTGGGGTGCACTGGGTGGCGCTGGGAGTGGGGCTATGTGGGGTGCTGCAGGCACCCAAAAATTAGCCGTAGCCCCTCCTCCCAGTGCTGCCACTGCCCAGGGTGACTGCAGCACAGTGCAGCCCAGACTGCCGCTGTGCAGAGCGCCCAGGCTGTGCAGGGCCTGTCCCTGCTCCCTCCCTACTTCCTCCCTCCCTCCCTCACAGCTGCTGCAACCGCCCACACTGCCTGGCATTTGCAGGGAGGAGATGTGCTCCCCCATCTATCCACAGCAGAGAAAGCTGCAGTTGCAGGCTGGGCTTTGCGCCCTGAGCCCTGTTGCAATCTGCCTGGGAGCAGCTTGATGCCACATGTGTCCCACCCTGGGGTGAACCTTGTCCCCTGCCTGCCCAGCAGTTTGCTGCGCATGGCATCGGGCTGCTCCTGGGCAGGCTGCAGCAGGGCTTGGGGCACAAAGTCCAGCCCGCAACAGCAGCTGCCTTTGCCATGCACAGATGGCAGGCACATGCCCCCTAGGGCCTCTTCTGGGGTGCACACAGTGGCAGCCCTCTGTGCCCCTGGACGAGCTGCCCGGGCTTGGTCCTCCCACCACCCAGCTGCCCAAGGCCCCACTCAACTTACCCCTGCTCCTGCCTCCGCGGCACTCTGTCCCTCACCACGGGGGCCTCGATCTGGCCCTCGCCCCTTCCCTCCCCCACAGACTGACCTGCTGAGCTGGGGCGCATATATGCATGCACAGGCGCGTTCAGCCCCCCACCCCAGCCTTGGTTCAACTGCAAGAAGCTCCAAGATCTACTGGTTGAGCTTGACTGGTTGGTGACCACTGCCCTAGGAACAAAGCCACCCTGTGCAGGTTCCTAGGTAGCACCAGAGCTTACTGGACCTGCTGGGGGATGAGCAGAGACATTATCATATGTATAAAACAGTGAGGATAACTATAGAAGAAAGAAGAGGTTGATTAGAGAAAGATTGGGGTCATTAACAATTATGGGGTGAAGAGATTAGCAGAAATCAAATAGATAATAGTGAGCCATGAAGTCAGTTGAGTTCCTCAACTCTGCCTAAATAGAAATGTGTCTGTCCTGACTAGGCAGTTTATTTACATTTTGAAGGGAGTAGGAATCAAATAGGGAGTATGACTGCACTCCAATGACTTCCCCTCCACCCTGGATATGCCTCAGCTGTGAAATAATGGTTCTGTTGACTTCTGAACTTGAATCTCAGTTGAAAGTGAGAAGCATGTAACACATGGTTAGATGTACCAACTTTTGATGGAACAAGGCAGTACAGCTGTAGAGCAGTGACTTCCTCTGGAAATGCAACTGAGGCCTTGAGATTCAAGTCCAACAGGCCTTGTTCCATCATGCAGGGTAATGTGTGCCTTTATATGTTCAAGTATGTTGAGACCATGAGGAGTTTCCTGCTTGCAGTAAATTATTTTGTACATAGCATGAGAAAGCTTTGATGGAAAGAATCTTTGAAGTACTTCCCAACTCAGCTTAGTCTTTGTTAAATTTGCTGTTTGCTGTGATTACGAAATATTAGTCCCCAGAACTGTTAGTTTGCCTGTATGTCTTGTTATGTGGCAGAATGTGTTAGGTGGGTAAAAAGGGAAGGCTTTAACAACTGTCTCATTATTTTGTATAGCAAGAATTCATAGTCCACTAATGTCCTATGAGAATTACATCAGCGTGTGTTACACAGTTCCTTAGTACTCTGAAACTTTTATCCATTCTCAGATTTCTAGACTTCTTCCAGTTAAGAATATTTACTTTTTAGATTGGTTAACTTTTACTTTTCTTTCAAAATGAGACAAAACTATTTGTTGTTTCTTGGGACGTTTCTTACTTTTATTTTGCTTATCTATTTAAAAGGGTTGATGTAATGTGAAAAACAATAATAGTCATGATTATTTTAGTGCCGCTCATGATTAACTAGCACCCTTAAGGCCTTGTCTACATGGAGGGAAAACTCAGCAGCATAGCTATTCTGGAATAATTTCCTCATATGTTCTACAATAAAAGTGATTCTATTCTGGAAATTTAATTTCCACACTGGGAGCAATTCTGGAACAGGCACTGCAGTGTAGTTTATTTTGTGATCTCTAAGCTAGTTATTCATTGTTTTTTTTCATATAAGCAAAACCCAACCTCAGGCCGAGAGAATGCAGCAGATGTTCCCAGATTCATTCGTGCTTCAGATTTTTGTCACCAGTGTTTTAGGCTTCCTTCACCACTCCTGTCTGGATTCTACCACCCATAGTCTGAAATACTAGTTCACCATTTTTTTCCTTCAGTAGGAACACAAAGAAATAGGGTGTAAGGACAAGGCTTTTCAACTATCCTCCAACATCTTAGTTTCCAGTTCCTTTCAAAAAGTAAGCCATTAACAATTGTGGGTCTGAAGATTTGTGGGCGAATTGGCTAGAGGGCCGCACCCAGAGAGTCGTGGTGGATGGGTCGGTTTCGACCAGGAAGGGTGTGGGCAGTGGGGTCCCGCAGGGCTCAGTCCTTGGACCGATACTCTTCAATGTCTTCATCAGCGACTTGGACAAGGGAGTGAAGTGTACTCTGTCCAAGTTTGCGGATGACACAAAGCTATGGGGAGAAGTAGACACGCCGGAGGGTAGGGAACAGCTGCAAGCAGACCTGGACAGGTTGGACAAGTGGGCAGAAAACAACAGAATGTAGTTCAACAAGGAGAAATGCAAAGTGCTGCACCTAGGGAGGGAAAATGTCCAGCACACCTAGTGCTTAGGAAATGACCTGCTGGGTGGCACGGAAGTGGAAAGGGATCTTGGAGTCCTAGTGGACTCCAAGATGAACATGAGTTGGCAGTGTGACGAAGCCATCAGAAAAGCCAGTGGCACTTTATCATGCATCAGCAGATGCATGACAAATAGATCCAAAGAGGTGATACTTCCCCTCTATTGGGCGCTGGTTAGACCGCAGTTGGAGTACTGCGTGCAATTCTGGGCGCCGCACTTCAAGAGGGATGTGGATAACCTGGAGAGGGTCCAGAGAAGGGCCATTCGTATGGTTAAGGGCTTGCAGACCAAGCCCTATGAGGAGAGACTGGGGCACCTGGACCTGTTCAGCCTCCTCAAGAGAAGGTTGAGAGGCGACCTAGTGGCTGCCTATAAGTTCATCACGGGGGCACAGAAGGGAATCGGTGAAGTTTACTCACCAAGGCGCCGAGGAGGTTAGATAAGCATCTAGCTGGGGTCATCTAGACCCAGCACTCTTTCCTGCCTATGCAGGGGGTCGGACTCGATGATCTATTGAGGTCCCTGCTGACCCTAACATCTATGAATCTATGTAAGGCCCACTATCTGTTCTCTAAAAGAAATACATTACTTATATACCAACTATTTTTCCAAGAGACCATTTTATCTACCTTTCCTTATAAACAGTCTTTCTGAGAAGAAATGTTCCTCTGCTCATTGTAAGTACCCAGTCTTGACTGTCTGATGTGGAGGCGTGTATCTTGGAGATTGCTACGACATTTCCAGTTTAGTATCATCGTAAGTGCTTAGCAATTTTTCACAGCCCATTTTTTTTTATTAATACCAAATAACATTTGCTAGCTGCAGCCAACCTTCTCTGCCTTTCTAGCAGCATGCAACTCTTCAGGATCTTGTGGTTACAGTTAAGTTGCATGAAATTAGAGTAACTTCTCCTCTTTTGCATTTACACTGATCTCCCCTTTATTTGGTGTGTCAAGATACAGAAATAATGAGTCACAGTTTTGCTTTGAGTCATGAGCATTGGAATCAAGCTCAGAAAGGAGTTTGCAATCCAGGGAGTCTGTCTTGGTCTTGGTCTTCATGCTGTTTCAGTGGTGGAGCAAACAGTGTTGGCTCAATGCCTGGGATAGTGCAGCTCTAAGCCCCATTTCTTCATAATGAAATGCTCCATAGAGTCTCTCTCCCCTTCTATGCTGCTACCCATGACATTTGTACTGGCAAGGCCATAATTTAACCTTTGAAACCACCATAATTTTGAAACCACTCCTTAAATTTCCTTCCTTCCCCCTTTACTAGTTAATCCTACATAATTTTGAGAATCAAGTTTTACCTAATCTTCAGGTGAGAGTTTCAGGACATTGTATTCCACAGCACCAGAGGTTTATTCATTTATTCTTTACCTATAAGAATTAAAGGGCATTTGATTTTTTTTTTTATCAGAACTTTGGGCTTTGTGAAGATTAAGCAACTTGACTGTATTCAACTGAAATTTTCTAGTGTTCTTTGCAGCTTAAGGCCTCATAGAAATAGGATTGATGATATCAGCCAAATGTAGACATGCTGCTCCCACTAAAATCTTTGTTTCAGTGGAGCCATTTAAATGCCCTAAGTCAAAATCTTCTGGCAATAAACTTGCATTTTTGTACCCTTGGATTATCTAGCATGAGACCATTCCATCTATTTTAATGTAATTTTAGCCATAGGTTGAACAAAACCAGGGTATTTTGTTCTGGAAATAAAGATCATCTACTCCAACACTTGAATCACACCAGCTGTAGTGATGAATATTCAGTTTTGTGCTAGAAAAAAGATAACAAGAAACCCATAAGGTTCTGCTTGATAGACATTAAGATACTTTATTAATGGAAGCTTTCCCTGCCCTTTACAGTGGACTGCTGGGATTCTTTCTGATGTTACACACAGTGAAACTAAAAAACTGTACCTCCTCATGGCAGTATGCAGCCTGGAGTTTCATTGCAAAGGTAAGAGGGGGACAATCAGCAAAACTTATAAGAACCTGCTCTCCAGAAGCAGAACTGTGAGTTTAAATCTCCATGTCTTTGATTTTCATTAGACTGTCTTTGCATCTGTCTGTTTAACAATATGTACAGAGCAGGCCTGAGACAGCAAATATTGATCATGTGAGAGTACCTTAAATAATGGGCTAGATCAGTGGTGCTTGACCTTTTGGCACTGTGGGCCAGATGAGTGGTCTGGGATTGGTCTGTGTGCTGGATTGGGTCTTTTGCAACAGCATTGAGCCCTGCTTTGTCTCCAGCTGGCCCATATGCCTGGATCAGGCTCCACGCAGCCTTGGTTTTCCCTCACATGCTGGAATCGGGTCCTGGGGCCTGCACCATCCCCACCGACTCCTGCACACTGGGATCAGGCTTCGTGCTGTCTCCACAGGCTGGGATTGGGCACTGGGATCTGCGCCCCTCCCCCAACTGTCCTTGCCTGGCCCTGTGTGCCAGGATCAGTCCTTGGGGACCTGTGCCACCCCTGCCCAAGCCTGTGGGTTGGGATTGGGCCTTGCACTGCCCTATCCAGCACGCAAGGGCTACACTATCTGGCCTGTGGAGCTCCCCATAGGTTCAGAAATTTGGCAGCAGGGGGACAGTGGGACTGCTAGCCTGCTGCTAAAAGTTTGAACTGGGGGGAGCCCTGTGGGCTGGAAGACATGGTGGCAGGGCTAGTCTCTGCTCTCAGGCTGGGAGTCGATCACCCCTGGGTTAGATCCTCAGGTGATGTAAATTGTGGTTTCTCCATTAAAATCTGAGGAGTTGTGCTGATTAGCAGCAGCTGAGGATTTGGCCTACTGGTTCCAAAAGTGATATGTTGCTGGAAGATCCTGCTTCTGAGAAGGACATCTGTGTCCACCAGTAATTGTTTCCATTGTTGCATCTTTCCTCCCAGCAGCTCTGATTTTTTAGAGCCAGAGTCAATGGCAGAATTCCCATTGGCTTCCATAGGAGTCGAATTTGGCTCTGTGTTACCAGCATGGCAATCTCAAATGCCTGATTCTCACATTAAGTAGTTAATGGCTCAGCTGGCCATGGTGTATGAAGTCAGAAGAGCCAGTGTTATTCCTTTTCCATGTATTACCCAGTTTAATCATTACCAGGTGCAACATCTTAAAGCCATGACTGCCCGGGGCAGTTAGTTCTTTGAAGCTTTCCTATGAAGATGAATGGAGTTGCTATTGTTTTAAAAAAAATCGTATAGTGTTTTTATTTAAAAATTACAGTAAAATGACTTCTCAGCTTGTTCTGGTGATGGCAGGAAAGGATTGTTGCTGGTGTTTCTGTATTCAGCATTTCTGTATTATGGCTCAGTGAAACTGCCAGTTGTATGGTATTTCTTGCTGGCTTCAACTTCTCATAAGAGCTCCAAGAACTGTCTGGCGGTGGAGTTTTATTACTGTAACCTCCTTGTTGGTTTTTGGTAGCAAGTCAACTGATTTAAAGCTTGCTGTTAAAAATGATTTTATATACTCTGGAGAAGTGCATTCTAAATGGGAATAGCTTATCCTGTTCACAGATATTGTGGATAAGTGGTTCTGTATGTGGTATTTATGAAGTATCAAAAAAGCCAGGAGGAATTGGTAAGAAACATGATAGTTTAAAACAGATTCAGGCCCTTCACAGCTGAAATGGATGAGAACCGCAAAGTCTGAAGTGGATCAAAGCTTTTCCATTATGTGGGGATTGTTAGATTTGGGAGATTAGCTGGGTCTGCCCACATAGATGTATCCTTCAGAGAAGGTGTTCATGTCATTGTAGTTGATAGATTTTTCTCAGTTTGCACCAGCTAAAGGTTTGGCCTGGTGTCTTTCTGGTAATTTAGTCTATATTTGTTTTCTTGTAATCAGTCCAAAAAGGTTACATTTGTTCATGTGAAAGTACTACACTCAAATAATTATTTTATTTTGGAAGTTTTTGCAACAGAGAAAATGAGTTCTTCCCTCTTTGTTGCTTTTACTGGACAGCACTGCTCAGTTCAACTGCCTGGCTTTGCGTATAAAAGGAACTAGGTGCTGGGTACACGCACTATGCCTATAGCTCCACATATTAAATTATTAAAAAGGCTGCTTGCATTTCTATAGTGACTCTTATCTAAGAGTCTCTCCGATGCCCGACAAAGGGTGTTTGTATCCGACAGCTTGCAAAGAAGAATTTTTCCAACTATTGTAGGTGGTCTAATAAAACATTATTGGATTTAACCAAAGAACCTTGCCTGCCTATGTCCTTAGACCGACATGGCTACAACCTATACCCCTCAAAGCATGGGTGACTGGTGCCTTCTCAGTCTGGGCGGGCACCCGCAGAAGCCGTCAGCAGTGGGGGCGGAGCTGGCAACTCCTGCAGGCACCGCCGCTGGCATCAGCAGCGGGGGCAGATCTGGCGAGTAGACACTGGCGGCAGCAGGGATCACTCTGTCAGGGGGGCATGTGCCTCCCCGTGGCCCCCCTACCAGTTGCCTATGCCTCAAACATCGTTATAAACATACAATTAAAGCTCTTGCCTTTCTGAGACATTTAAGAAACGTTGGAATTGCTGCATGCATGAATGAAATGCAGCCTTCAGCAGCAGCTTTAATATAACAAAAATGCTACACAATAGCTTTGGAACAGGAAAAAAAGAAGAATACTACATACCAATGGGGCTGGAGGGGAATTTATGTAGGCAGAATGCAATTATCTCAACTAGAATTTGACTACTATAGTGAAGTTAATACACCAACCCTGACAAAGTTGTCATGAGCTAACTCATTGCCACAAATAGACTGTCGATTCAAATATTGATTCATTGGGAAGAATGTTTTGTTACCAACTGAATCACCAGCATTACTTCCTCCTGCCCCTAGCTGTCCTTTGGAAATATCCTAACCAAATAGTGACCTATAGATCAACGTTGTGTGGCATGTGAGGGCTGACTTGATTGCAGTACATGCTGTCCTAGCTGCACGTTTCAGATCAGAAGCCCTAATACTGTAGAATACATTTTAGTCACAGTTGTAACAGTATCTTTAAAAGTGTCAAGGGTAGAAGTTTATATAAACAAGAAATAATAGAGAGAGAGAAACTATTTGAATCTGGACACACAGGAGGAGGGAAACAAGATCCAATGGAAAAAAACCCCCTGGATCACAACAGCGGCTTTACATTCCCACGTGAGCATTTTTCTTGGATTGAGTACTGCCCCAAATCATCTTCCTAAAATCTCAGACTGACTGGAGTTTTTACCATCAGTTGGAAAGAAGCAGCAGTTTAGGCCAGAATATGTTTGTCTTGAGAGCTAGCCAAGAAAGGAGAGTGCTGTAGTCCTCAGACAGCAGCACGGCCTCTGGGGAGGTTCAGAGAATGAAGAATCTGTTTTCCATTTGGATGCTTTGTATCTTTATGACCGATGAACTGATTGCTGTGATAGCTGCCATCACTTCATTTCTTCTAAAGCACTGATGCACCAATAAACTGGCAAGGAGATCTAAAGGTACCATTTTACAGACACAAGAAGACATTCTTTCTGCAGTCTAGATGGCTGGGTTCCTTGTCCTTTTTATTTTTAATTCAGTTAAAAACTAGAGGAGGCACTTAAATTTGCATTTACGATACTGTTGCTTTAGTAGGTTCTTTAAGGGTCTTTAGTCTGTAACAAGATTTGACAGATTTGGTGTCCAAATGTTGCTATGAGCATAGACAAATGCTGGGTTTAGTGTCCATATATGCTATGTGCAATAGTTTTACTGACAAATGCACTCTGCATAGTCTCTATGAAAGCCAGTGCTGTATGTATTAATATTTAAATGGGCCATACACCAAAAACTTCCCTTAAGATATACAAAAGAAATACTCTACTTCCTTTGTCACCATTTTGCAAAGCTGCAACTCCAGAAGACGAAGAATTTGAAAATATGTGGATGCTGCATGCTTTAATTTGAAAGATATGTTAGTAGCTTGGGTCATGTACCGGAAAGAACAACTTAGAGACACACATACACAAACAGAAACATCTGGTGACAACTCTAATGAGCTCTAAGGTTAAGTACAGACATTCAAAAAGCCAGAGGCAGAGTTAGTCCAATCTGCGTGGGTTTCTCTAAGCTGTGTAGATTGGATTGTGAGCGAATAGAAGTCACATTTGCCCTTCAGTTGGGGGAGGCAAGCATATGCCTTCAGTGACCGAGGCCAGAAGGCAGGGGGTATTCCTGCATGCCTCCCAGCCTGCTAAGGGCAGCCACACCTAGCTTAGCAGGAGCTATCCCTGATGGGCTACTCAGCACACACCCCCAGCCATCAGCCTCAGGGAAGGGGAAAGCCAGCAGAGAAACTATGCCCAGCCCTGTTGTGGTGGGGCAAGGGGGTGGAGTGAAAGGGGAGGCCCCTGGTCATGTGGACCTGGCTCCCCCAAGCCTAGCCAGCACATTTGGGAGGCCACACATGATGGGACCTTCCCCCTACCATGTTGTGCTTGCCCAGCTGGAAAGCCTGACTCTCCTCCAGCAAGTTGGTGCCTGTGAACAGTAGGGGAGGGGGGCAGGACTGTGTAGCCCATCTGGTTAGTCAGCCCAGCTGGGTAGGCACAGCAGTGGTGGAAAAGCCTCCACTGCACAGGATCGTCCAGCTGGGCAGACCCCTGTGGGAGGGGCTGGCGCCAGGGGGGTAAAGCATCCACACCTGAGGACAGGAGGGTGATCCAGGCTGACCTTGACAGGCTCTGCTCCCGCACCTCCTCTTCCCCGCAACCCCCCCACCTTGGCTGACAGTTTCAGGGAGGGCACAGAGCTGGGGAACAGAGGCTTTGCTGCCTCAGTTCTGTGACAGCCCGGGTCAAGGCAAACCTGGCTGAGTCGGAGCAGACTAGTGTGCATGGAGACTAGTCCACCCTCCCTGCAATGGAGGATTAGTAGGATCCACAAAGCATCTTGGGATGTCAGGGAACTGCAACCTAACTTGAGTTGGGAGGGTTTCTGGTGAGAGTTC